ATAAACACATTATTTTACAGATTCACCTGTGGTCTAACAAATAAAACATTAACTTTACTGAAGTCTATTAATCTCAAAAAACTTCATCCATTTTTCTGTAGTGACAGAATTAGCTCTGATGAACTGCTATTGAAAGACAATATTCAGAAAGACTCTTTAGAGCTAGTTTTCACTTCGCTTTATCTCACTTGCAAAACTTTATATTGTTGCAATGCCTGCATATGTTAGGAGTCATTATTCAAGTCCAGAATAAAGACCAATTTGTGCCAAGAGATAGAAGAGATCAAGTGAGGCAGGCAGATCAGGAACAAGAAAAATGTTCAAAGCACAGATATGTCCAGCGCTACATTGCTTCAGTGCACAAAACCCCACCAGTGTTTGCTACAGACACAAGAATATTCAAGAAAGGACAACAAAACCAAAAAGTGACTTTGGGAATACTTACAGAGAACACCTTCCAAATGCGTGAGGTAGTACAGTAGAAATAGAAAAAGCATTTGAAATCTTAATTAATAAGCTGCTACAGAGTACTGCATCTTAACCAACCAAACACACACATTAAGCTTTTGTAGTAACAGTAAGATTGAAAGACCAATAAGAAATCAATAGATCAAGGTGTAATTTGCTCTTTAGTGCTCTTAAGGCTGCCTTTGTTTATGGTACAAACTTTATGAACTGTAAAATCAGATTTCAACTGTTATTCTCTTTAAAATAATGCAGACTTTGTGCGATTTTTACAATAACAAGAGATCACCTGTCAGTGATGCTCTAAAGCAGGTCTGTAAAGCAGATGACTCACTGACGGAGTAGGTCAAAGAATTCATTTTAGTGACCTCTCTTTCCTCACCAGAGCACATCCCTGGCACACTGCCAACCACTACAAGGTCCAGAAGTGCATCCAGCACTGAAAAAAAGAAAGCTCTAGCTAAGCATCACTTACTGAATGCCTGAGCAGCTAAGAAAAAGCACTAATAGCTATAGCTATTGATTCTGCTATTCTTAATTCTACATGGTTCACATAGGCTTTAGACTAAAACATTTTTTAAAATGAGAATATTTAGAAAAACAGTGGGCTTGGTGAATGGAAGATAAAAAAATTCCAGTTCAAAATAAAAAGTGGCCATATACAGATTAGTAATATGGAGGTATCAGGCAGCATTGGTGTGAGGACTTCACTCAGCAGTTGTCAGCTGGTCGATGGTAACTGCTTAACCCCAAGGATCTGCACACTGAAGACTTCTCTAGATCGTGCACTGCAGTTGCCACATATCAAGTGATCAGCAGTGGTGTTGCTAAACACACTGTTGTTGGGGCAGGAGGAAGAGGAAAAGGGAATACAAAGACTTCACACACTGCAATTCCCACGCATTAGCAGTTCAGGAGTAGGAATCCTGTGACCGCACAGCAGGCAGACCACACTGAAACTGGATGAGAAGATCTGGTAAGAAGCTGCAAATCTGTTTACAAGTAGCAACAAGATGCACAACAGAACTGAAGAAGCAGGAAAATGGGATTCTTTAGCACAGGGAACACGGCATGGAAATGATGTGGAGGCTTAGAAATCTTACCTCTGTGAATTATATTTTCTGAATAAATCAGCTCCCTCCAACAGTAAGAATAGGAAGCGAGCAAAAATTTGCTGATGAAATGAATGAATGAGAACAGATTCATGCAGTGCAGACATTACATATTTTGCTGTATGGCATACATTGGTAGATTGGGTGGAGCGGTGGTGTTAATGCAAGAGAAACATAGTGTATTTTGGTGCTGTATTTGATAAAATTATTTGCTTGCATTAATTTGCCACTTCCATCATTCCCACAAACGAATGAAACTTGGTAATTAATTTCCCAATTTGGTTACATTCTGCAATGGTAGGAAGTCCCTTAATCAGAACAAGAAGCTTTTTCCTCTAACTCTCCATTACCTGGGGAATTGACAAAAATACAATGCATACTTTTCAAAACTGCCATGTTTGATGATAGCAAGGCTAGCTGCTTACTAAGAGGAAACAATGTCAACCAAAACACACAAACCTACAATTTCTCTGGCAACTATCTGTGAATCTCAAACCAGTTCTTGTTCTATTTTATTGTCTAGACTACGATTTATGTGATAGCAGATAAACGGACTTTGTTCTTTAAGTCACTGAAAACAAGATTTAAGTTTAAGGGCAAACGTCTCACCAATGCATTTGTTTTATCAACAGCATCATTTTACCAGATACCTCCTAGAGGTAAATCAAGACCAGTTCAACTTTTACAGTAGAAGAACAAGTAGGTGTTATGTGGACATGTTTGTTTAAACTGCATCTGAACCCCTGGCGCTGGCAACATTTTCACAAAACTATCATAGTTGCCAGCTTTAGCAACAACATGTGGCCCCTTGGATGTATTTTAATTTTAGCTTAGCCTCTTCAAACAATTGGATTTGAAAACATAATACTAATTCTGATAAATGCAAAGCTGTCTCCTGAAAAGAAAATACCATTCTCTTGCTCTGAGCACAAGACTCCTTTCCACAAACTCTAAATCAAAGATAAAATACTTAGGAGGGTAGCGTTTAAAGAAGTAAGTAAGTAGTCATATTGCAACTTATTTCCTGACACACTCATTCAGCTAATTGTGCCTAAGTAAGTACCTGGTTCCAAACGATGGCCAATCAAACAAGTCACTGGAATCATCAGCACACCTGCTACGTAGGAGACAAGAAGGCACGGCCATAGATCTGAGAGTACAACTTCTTGGAATGCCTTTATAGGCATTGTAAAATTAAGCGATAAGTTGTTTCTCATTTCTGGGGCAGGACATTTTTTATGTTCTGCATCTGCCCAGAACAAGGGTCAACCCTAGAGTGTTTCACTGCAAGTATAACCCAAGTTTCTAAGACATCTTAGACCTGCTATAACAACTTCTCTAGTCCTCCAACAGATGTACTAATAAATTTTCCACAAGAACAAGCTGGAAATATTTGATGTCATCCCCAGGCATTCTCGCAACTCTGGCGTGATGAACAGAAAGAACCATCGTGGAATACGTAAGAGTACAGTGCTGAAATAAGGATCAGAAGCTCCAGTTACGGAAAGCTGATATTAGCAAGGGCCAGACCAAGTGTGTTGTGACTTTTCTTTCTGGACTTGTACCACTACAAAAAGCACAAGGGTCACGCTCTAATTTACCAGCAGTAACAAAAGCATCACAAATATACTCGCATACATAACAAGATTATGTAATAATATTAAATTATTTAATAATACATTTACTTAATAGCTCAGAACCACTGAAAGAAAATATTCCTATTTTCCCCTCTCATTCTGAGAAATTGTTCTTTGTGCTTACACTGTCCTGGGCTCTCCTTTTCACCAAGGCCCTCTAAGCCAATGAAGTTCAGTTTTATTTTCTAAAACTGCAGCAAGTAAATCCAACAGAATATAGTTTCCTGCCACTCCGATGAGTTTAATCAACTTACAGAACTGTTCAAGTGCCAGAGTCAGGGCATGGGAGGAGACTTGGGGAGCACAGCCATCAACAGGAAAGGGAAGAAAGAAGGAAGAAAAACTCCTTACTTCATCAGAAGCAACAAGCTGTTAGAAATGGCACAACTGGCCAGGAAATTCAAGACTGAGATAACACCATAATTTTTCCCTTTTCTTGATCCTTTACCGAGTGGATTCCAAACAAGTAACAAATACATTAAGACATGTGCACACAGAAATTCATGGTTTGCCAAAACTTCCTAGCATTAAACATACACACTCACTTAGGTGCCCTTCAAGTTTCAAGAACAAAGTCGTAAAGGACGAACTGAGTCACTCTGTTCTATGACCCACAAAGCCAGGCAGTCATGCCACAGCACCAAATCTGATTATTTAAAAAAACACATGATCTAAGGGGGAAAAACAAATTCATTTGTGAAAACATTATTTAAAAATATGTTTGTTTACTTCAAAATTAAATTCTGTGAAGTTCAAGGTATTGATTTGTCAGCTTTGCAAGGACTTGTTTTTGAAAACACCAGTTTATGTGCAGTTCTCTTCAGCGTCTGCACTCTCCGGGGAATGGTATGCTCTTCCAAAATATGTTTATTTAAGACCAAATTTAAATTGTGCATTCAACAAAAGCACATACATAACAATACTTACAAGAAGCCCGCACATGTTGTAGGCATTTTATGCTACTGTATCTCTTAACTTCAAGAAAACACCGTGCATGGCTTTAGCTCATTGTGTTGTACTCTACAGCACTACTGAACTAGAGATGTTAAGAAAAACATCTCCTCAGATCTGTGTTGTTTTAACGTAGGCATTTAAGAGTACTGTGCTTGCAGGCTAGACTCGTCTGGTTGTTTGTTTTTCTCTTTTGCTGGAATAAGGCCTCTACACAGAGAAGAAAAATTATAAATAAATAAACAAACGGCTAAACGTAAGATTCCATTGACATAACAATCTTGTAAGCAAGGGCAGGTGAGTCCTCTAGCAGCTCGTTTTAGCCGAAGAGCCCGAGTTGTGGCGGACTACAGGGATCCCCCCACGTGCATCCTGCAACTCGCGCTCGGCTCCGCGCAGCTCCCGGCGCTGCGGCCCGGGAGCGTTCCCGCCGACACAGCCGGGAAGGGGATCCTGGCCCCGCGGCGATGCTGCGGGAGCAGCCGAGCGCGGCCCCATCGCGGCGCCCCCCCCCCCAACACGAAGAGTGGGAAGCCTGAGGGGGAGGGAGGACCCGATCCCGGGCGCGTTCCTCCTGCCAGGGGCCAGCTCTGGGCGACGAGGAGAGCGCCTTCCTCCTCCTCCCCCGGCGCCGGGACAAAGAAGGCGCGGGAGGGCAGCGGAGCCTTTCCCGGTGAGAGCCCCACAGCCCCCGCCGATTCCGGCCCTGCGCCTCCCCGGTCGCTGGGGGGAGAACCGCGGCGGGCACAAGCGCCCGGCGGGGCCGCCCGCCTCAAGGTGACACCCGCGGCCTCCTCCGAGCCCCCGGCCGCCGCCTCCTCCTCCTCCTCCTCACCTGGCACCTGCAGACGATGTCGGCGTCCTGCGCCAGTAGATCCACCACCTTGCCCTTGCCCTCGTCGCCCCACTGTGCGCCCAGCACGACGGTGACCCTGTTGCCGGGGCGGCGGGCGGCGCACTCGCCGTTGGGGATGGCGGGGCCGCCGTGCTCCGCCATGGCTCGCGCTGCCCGCTCCGGCGCCGCTCCAGGCACATGCGGCAGCGCGCGGCGGCTCCGCTCCCCCCGCCTCCGCCTCCTCCTTCCCCTCCCCGCCGGGCGGGCGGGCGGTGCCGCCGCTCCCGCGTCCAGGTGGTGCCGCCGCCTACTGGCTTGGCCTGCCCCGCAGCTCCCCGCCAGCCCGACCCCTGCCCTCAGCCGGAGCTCCCCTCGCACTCCCGTGAAAAACCGGAGCCGCCGCCGCCGCTGCCCGCGGACGCCGTTTTTCTCCTGCCACTCCCTCCGCGCCTCGCGGCCGCGACTACATTACCCAGCGTGCCGCGCGGCCTCCCCGCGGGAAGGTCCGCAGGGAGGCGAGCGCAGTGCACGCTGGGGCGCGTAGTCCCCTTTCTGCCACCTGCGGCAGGACGGCGCCCCGGCGGTTGCCCCAGGCGGCCCCGCGGCGGCAGAGGCTGAGCCGGGCGGAGGGGAGGGGTCGGGGGCGGCCATGCCAGGGCGGCCGGGACGGGATTGAGGCGGCGCCCAGCAGGGGTGGAAGGAGGGCGCCGGGGGCGCAGATGTTGTGCGTGTTCCCCAGAGGTAGCTCCCGTTACCCCTCGGGTTTCAGCTGCCGCGGGACCTGCGGCCCCTGTCGCTGGTGTCAGCCCTGCGTGTGTGTGTGTGCGCAGCGTGTCGGAGCATCGCCCGCGTGGTTAGTGTTGCTGGATTAATGATCACAGGAGTGTAAATTACAGTTTGGGGAGCCAGGGGGTGAATGTAAGAGGCCATTTTCTCCAGAGACACCGGAACATGGCCCCAAGCCTATTCATGAGACAAAAAAAAAAAAAAAAAAAAAAGGAAAAATCCATAGCAGAGAAAAGCTTTCATCATGTGTACTTAGAAGTGGAACTGACGTCTCAGTGGCTGTTTTCATTCTTTCCTGCTTCACACAACCCTGGGGGAAGACTTTTTTTTCCTTGGTAAAGTAGCTATTAAAAAGACATAAAAATCTGAATGATGTAATTATTGCTAAGACAGTTATTCAAAGACCTGAGTCACTGAACAGTCACAGTCTGCAGCTGTCTGGCGGGCTGTAGTGCTTGATTTTAGTTGCTTCTTTGCTCCTTCAGATTTACTCCAACCAAGCAGTTGGGGATCTATAAAAGACACTGGAGAAAAGTTTAACTGTGTCTTGTAAAGCTAGGGAGACATATAACAGATAATTAAATACAAAGTTGTCAGCATTTTTTTAAACAACTGAAAATATCTAAATCCTGAATGTCAGTGCCAAGAGATGCTATGACGAAGAAGTCGGTTCAGAACAAAAATGTTGAACAATTGCAAATGATGAGAGGCAATTGTGTATATACACTTCAAAGAGCGTAGTTCCTTAAAGGTACCTTAATAGTCCATATTTTGTCTGCTTATTCAATATAGACATAGTTTCTGTATCACTGCACAGAGCTTGTGGGAGTCACTAAAAGCCACAAGGAGCTGCTGAAATCAGTTTCTCCAGTCTTGTTGACACAATGGCAAACTTTGTTTTACTGCACTCACTTCTGAGGCCATCATCATCTCACCACTCCCCAAACAATGGTCAAGATTCATGTTTTAGGATAGGATTTTCCAGTATAGCTGAATCATATTAACACTTCGCTGTTGCCAATACAAATATTCCCTTGGATCTCAAAATAAATTTGAGCCTCTCATAGTGTCCTAGTAATGTGGTATTAGTGTAACGCCACTTTCCAGAGAGTCTCAGGCACAGGAATCCATTGTTCTGCTATTTTTTAGTGTAGAAGAGCTCTAAGATTATGTCTTGGTATGGTTTCTTGATAGGGAAGAAAGCTATAAATACTTCACTTCCAGAAAACCTGTAAGTGTTAATCTTAATGAAGATCAAGTTAATCAATACTGACTGTACTGTCAAGTTCAGAATTTTTCTTTAATATATGGTATTATGTGCGTCCACCATCCCCCCCCCCTTGCAAACTAAATGGAAGCTTTCATTCTAATACTAAAAGATACTAAATACTCTTTACTGACACAACTCACTAACTGTATTTATAATATAGTTCTAAAACATGGTAACTTGACCAAAGCATGAACACAACTGGTGTCTAATGCCCCTTACCAAAAACAGGCATTGCACTTGTGATTCATTCACTATAGGCAAGAAAACCATCAAGAGCATGCAGTGGTACTGTACTGGGTTTTCCCTCTAACATACATGGACTGTATTAACTTTTTTTGCTACTTGGGCAAGCTGAATCTGCTCTGTGAGAGGTCAGGTGGGTATTTAGAGGTGGCACAAAATAGCAAGAGTTTATATTCGAGGAATGAAGGAATGTGAATGCCTTTTCTGGCATTAGCAAGATGGTATATAGGATTGACTTTGTAAAACTGAACCCATGGTAGAAGCGTACACTGATAAAGTTTAGGTTGTATTGTCTTCGGGATTCTTCAATGCTATTGACTGGGTATGAAAAACTAGAGAGTTACATTTATCACAAATTCACTCTGGGTACATTCAGGCTTTTCACGTGACTGCATTTCTCGCCTCCCAGTAAATTACAAGAGACTCAGGAATTTTTTATAAATGCTGAACAGAAGCAGTATGAGACATGCATTTCATTCAGATGTGTCAAAGATACATGTAGAATTGTTACATCTATATGTTTTCAATTATACTGACAAAGTATCCCACATGTTCTGACTCTGCATTTAAAAAATTACGTACAAAGTAGTTTAGAGGAGAATTTGGGTAAGATCTCCAGTAAATCAAAAGTAAGCATGAACAAAGAGAAAATGCTGTAACAAGCAAGAAGGCCAGCTGGACTATTAGCTAATGGCTGATGGGTCGTAGTGGGCTATTTCTTTCTCCTTAATAGTACTTCTTAATTGTGTTTGATACTGTTTCTTCTACTGTAAGCAATTTCTGAATTTCAGGAAAAGTATAGATTGAAGAAATAACCGTTGGCAGTGAAAATGTCAGGGCACGTGGTCTATGGTAGGAGTTTTCTGTTAAAATTGGTTCTGCCTGTGACAGTGATGTATTACACAGATATTTTACACTGAGGTCTTATCTGCACTAGAACAGTGGTTGCAGAAAAGTAGTCTGTGGGCCATGGTTAGCTAATCTGCATATGTCCTACAGAACTGCGTTAAACAATAAAATTTTGAAGTTTTTCACTAATCTCATTAAAATATTCAATAAGATGTAAGTCAGTTTTACTTCCTGATTATTTACAGCATCTTTAGAGCGTTTTCCTCATTAATTTGATGTTAAGACGTAGAGTGACCCACAAAAAAATATTAGGTATTGATAGTGTCGTAGTCAAACGAAGTCTAAGGATCACTGTGCCAGACACGGTTGGTATCTGTAGCACTTCAAACTCTCCAGAATGCTGTCAGCTTAGCTTAGGAGGAAGAGAAATCATTCTGCAGTTAGGACATACATAATTTTATTTGGACAGTATGCTAATGTAATTGAACCTTGCTTGTTGCTTGTTATTATTGTTTTTAAATTCATTTTTCCAGTTAAAATTTCCCTTAATTATTTTTGTTACCTTTTTATTATTGTTAATATTTTTTATCATCATAAAAATAAGATTAAGAACATTATAACGTAATGGTTTTATATGTTGTCACAAATTATTGGACACACTAGCAAGTATTTTCAACCTTTTGGTTAGGTGTATCTAGAATATGAAAGAACTTCATTTATTGAATGGGAATTTCCTGATGTATGTACTGCACAAGATAATTACTGTCTTTACAGAGCAAAAATGAAATGGAGATTTCTGTATGTATGATACTGTAATTTAAATATATATGTTAAATAGCTTTTAATATGTTAAATATTAAAATGGAGAGATATGTTACAAGTTAGCTTTTATTACAGTGTTCCCCCCTGATTTTCATTGCTTTTTGTGATTTGAGCAGCAGCTTATCCTTCAGGACAGGTGTAAATAAGTTCCCTGTTCCTTGATGTTACATGTTAAGTGTGTACAGACACCGTGTTCTGTCTCTCTCTTAGTCTCTAACAGCATCAGCCACTGAAAGTTTAATAGAATGGATATGTGATAGATATTGGGTGATTTTTTTTTTTCAGGACTTTTTAGATTTATACATTTCTCAGAATATGTCTCTCTGAATCAGAGAGAATGAAGCACTATGTAAGAGAAACAAACAAACAAAAAAAATCCCTAATGAAGTTATAAATCCTTTTTGTTGTTTTTATTCACTAAAACATGATGTCAAACATCACACAATATTTAACAAAGAAAGATCTTGAATTCACCTTTTTCCTAGGTCTGGTTTTTGGTCAGAATAGGTCCCTTATCTAGGTCATTGCAAAAGTGTCAGCTCAAGGCAGGGGAGCACAGTAGCCCCAGTTTACACAGTCTTAATCTGTTTGAAAACAGCACCCTGAGTTCAGAACTGCTTGAAAGTGCAGCTAGGGCTGTGGGTGAGAGCTACTGCATCAACAAAAATTCTATTTAGTTGTTAAATACAGGTTAGAATAAAGACTTTTATCTCTGTTAACCTGTAACCCATATACCTAAGATCTGACAAAGCCTTAATTTCTTTTGCTACTAGGTTTTGGGACATTATAGTATGATACTAAACTGGTGAATGGGGTGAAGTGTGACCTTAAAGGTGGGTGATCGAGATGTGTCAGCTTTCAGAATGACCCATACCACATTCTTAGAGAGCTCAGGGGCTGGGAAATGCGCCCTGCCAGTTGTCTGTCATAGAGAGACTTGTTTATATACCTGTTGAGAGAGTCATCTTGTAGTTCCCCAGACTGTCACTGATATTGTACAGTAGTTAGGTTGTCTCACATATATGTAAAAAAAACTCGAGCCAAAAGCTTAGTGAATATTTTACGTGCATTTAGGCTCAAGTTTTCTCACATTCTTCTTTCTTTTTCCTTTTTTTTTTTTTTTTTAATTTGGTCCAGTGTGCTTGTAAATAATGCTATAATCATTCAATCTTAGAGGTGTAGATTATCCATCACTGAAATGCTGAACTGTAGATGTATGCTCTGTTTAATAAAAATGTGAGTTTTTTCTCAGAGGACTCCAAAGTCCTAAATTTTCAAGATTTAATATAAATACAATCTCTTATCTCACGTTAACTAGGGTTAAACATTTGTCGTTTGTGTGGTGTTTATTTTTTTAAATTTTAGTTCAACAAAACCAACACTGAACTGTTCATTTGCTGGGCAAAACCACAGGTAAAGTCTAAGGTAAGCTGGGTAAATACATTGTGAG